CCCCTGTTTCTGCTTGTTCTCTTAACAGATTTTAAAAAAAAAAGAAATCGAAACAGTGAATTGTGAATTGTGAAGAATGAAATTGTGTTCTTGATTAAAATCAGGAGTCTTGGTTGAATTGTAAAATTTAGTAGCGATTAATTGAGCTGATTACTTTTTCTGGATCTTTCTTAATCCCCCTTTTTTGTTCCTCTTATGAACATCCTTATCAATCATATCCAATACACATACTGCCAGGTTTCTAAAGCATGATTAAAAGAGAAAAAATATATCTTATATCACTTGGTCGTGATCTTTGTGAACTTGTTTTGATTGTTAAGACAAAGATAGAGAGTGTATTCTACCTTAAGACCATAATGAAGCAAAGTCTCAAAATTCATTTTTTTTCCCCAAGATCTAATCACAGGGAGGATAAATTCTTAAATTTTGTAGAAATTTAGGCCAATTTGAACATTTTGAATTCTTGGGATTTTTTTGCTTTTATTTAATTTTTCAATTTAATAATCTAGTCCCACACTAATACAGTTCAAAGATTAAAAAAATATGTTTTTTTCTATGCAGCCAAAAAAAACTCCACATTCCAAATAAGATCTGAGGAAACATGTGGCTCAAAAAAATTAAAATACCATTTTAGTTTTCCTGTTGGCCCTTATCACAGTGCTAGTGCATTTATTCAATCAGATTGAAGAATTGAAATGTTGCAATACATATGGAATAAGGGAAGTAGATGTCTCATAAGATTTTACATGTCCATGTCAATTTGAAATTTATTATGTCTTTGGTGTATTCAATTCTTATCCAAATAAAATATTAAAATAAAGCTCAGTGTATCCGTTTTGTATCTCCATAGATAGTCAGAGATCAGTGGGAGATACAGAAGTTGTGTGCCATTTATTCTGGGAGGAAAGACTTGATTAAATCCCAAGTGTGGAAACTAATCAGTTTGGTTCATTTTTCTTCTGTGCAGAGATTCAATGTGAGAGGTACCATAATAATCTGATCAGTTGGTATGGATGGCTTGAATTAGTTTGAATATTTGATGATGGGAATTTTTCCAAAACAAAAAGATTGCACACTTACATAAACCCCATATACACTCATTCACAAGCAGTGAATTGTAGCAGATTCACACTAATCAATAGTTTTCTCACAGCTGATTCCCTTGATTTTGACACAAAATTGATACAGTTGAGCATTTGAACTCAGTGCAATTTTGGAATTTTAAGGGAGAAGCTATTGAGAGGTTTCAAAGAATAGCAATTAAGGTAATAAAGAAGTACCCTCTTCAAACTTTGTCATCCATAATTGAAGGGGGATAAATCAAAATCATACAGAAAAAATATGAGGAGTGTTTCCAGGAAAAGATTACCCTCATTTTACTAATGAGATCTGTGCTGTTCAGATAAGAGAATGTAATCCTTTTGCTGGAATTTTTATTTTTTTTCTGAGAGGAAATTTCAGTATCTTCACGATTCAATCAATGATGGCCTGGTGAGCTGTGGTTGACTGCCACATTGTGATTTCCTTAAAGAACATGTCTTTCTTATCTTTTTGCAACACATCATGCCTTTAATTATTTCTCATTGAGCCCAAAACGGCCCATGCATCATTTTAAGAATTCAGTTTTCTCATTCTTGCCTGAAAAATATATGTGAATTTTACATGAAAAATTCTTGCATTGTGCAGTAATAGTATACAGTTTAGTGCTAAGCAAAAACTGAATTTGATTATTCATGTTACTTTTTGCCGCTATTTTGGCCTCTCAAGTTCATTTTTTTTTAATCTAAAACAACTTGAATTGAATGAAGAAAAGCCTTAATTAATATGAGACTAATATTGTTGACAGTGTGCTGTAGTTTTGAAACATCAAAGATGATACTCAAAATTGCTCTTCATCTATATGAACTTTGGCTTAAGCACGGCGTGCTTAAACAATACACAATCATAGCAGAATTAGAGCTTAGCTATCACCATGCAAGGCTAAGCACGCCGGTCTTACCAAACCTGGATTAAGCACGGCGTGCTTAACAAAGAAATGATCATAGCTTGACTGGAAGGAAGACCTTCCAGTCAACGAGGTGGAGGTACCTCGTCAA